AATGTAATACTTGACGAGATTATAAATAGCGAATAGAGAATAGAATATTATCGAGAAACGAATTCTCCATAATATTGTTTTTTAAAAGAAGTTATTTCAAAATTTCTTCTTATATATTTATTTTGTTGCCGTGCCAAATTTTTGTTTGTTCGAATCCTATCGCTGTCAAAATATGCGCGTCAAATATCACGGTGCATCGTTGTTTCGCAACTTTATCTATCTATCGTTCTAGAAATACATTGTAAAACCCAGAACGTAATATCTATATTCTTCACGTTAAAGATTAAGACGACACATTGTAGTTTCGAAAGAGAAACGATGCGTGTTCGATTCACACATCCTATATCTACCTATTTTATGATCACGTGTCAACAGCAAATATAAACAAAAAAAGGGAGAAAGACAAAGATGGATTAAAAATTGCGAATTTCAATACCATCTCTAAAAAATGTAGAAAAAGAAATATAGATGAAAAAAAAAAATACGTCCAAGAGTGTTCGATAGATGGCACTGATTTTCGATTCTTAATCTACCTTACCTTTGAAAATATATATGTTCTCGAGAGATGGCATTGATTTCCTAATTATTAAAGATGTTAAAATGTTAAAATTCTGAACCTAATTAAAATTCTGAAAAAATTAAAATTCAATGGCAAATCGATCTTCTTTTCTTCTATTCTCGTCTTTTTCAGTTTGTAATCTGTAATAAAACTTAATTATTGAATTAATAATTAAAATATAATTTATATCTGAAAAAAAAACATTAATATCTAGAAAAAAAAATTTTTTTTTTCGCGTTTCCCATGATGATTGAATGATCCGATGAGCCGGCATATAAATCGATCAAATTAGGCAATATTTACTACGTATTACTAAAACGAGCACAGTGACAAAATAATAACAATGACTTCCCATTCTTTGGAAATCGAAAAATCGACCAGCAAAGCCAGAGAGGACGTTAGCATTGTCCATTTCTCTCAGCTTTTGATTTTTTCAAATTTAATTTTCTGAAACAACGCGAGAACGTGCCTACCCGATTAGAGATTAATGACAACTTGACTGGCTCTACCTACTTATTTATAATTAACAGACACACCGGAAATATACTATCCCTATCCTTATTTAATATACTATATATTATATACTAATATACTATATTAAAAAAATGGCAAAACAAACATACCAACACACTCCATTCCATGATCTTCACGTATAATGCCCGGATGCAAGATGCTACACTAGAGAAAGCGTTCCAGAATATAAAATCTAATATCCAATTTTTTATCACACTACATGTATTTAAAGTTTACGTATAATTTTTCTAAAATCGATTGAGAATGACTATCTACCATTGACACGCGATAAACACATACGTATATATCTTTTAATTTTAATTATAATATCTATAATATAATATTTTTTAAAGTTCATAACAACTCTAATATCTATTAAACAAATATATATTCCTATTATTGAAATACAATTTAATGAAATGACTGACTTAAAATAAAATTTTAATAAGAATGAAAATATTCTCAAGCGACTTTTTCATCAAAGAATATTTTCAAAAGAATATAAAAGAAGTATTCAAAATTCTATATAGTGTCTTCTTACATATGATATGTATTTTTATACTATATTTTTAAATATAAGAGAAGAATAAAAGCTTTAGTATTTTTATTATTTTGAAAATCAAGCGTTTAAAACAATTAATATGAAAGAAAAGATTAAAAATTAAAAATCTATTATCTTACTCTTTATTATTTATTAGAATATTTGTGTCTAATATATCCATGAATATTTAAGTGTTTGGAAATATCTATGGATTATTATTATAGTTATTACTATGATCTTTAGATATTTATTATGATTTAATTTTATATAATTAATTTGGAAAATTATTAATATTTAAAAGTGCAATGTACACAAGAAAACCTAGCCTGAGTTAATGTTGCCTATGTTAATAAATAAAACATAGAAAATATTTACTATTATATTCACAGATATAATAAATAAAAAATAACAAAAGTCTACGTATACACTCAACAATCACTTGTATCGATTCGGATCATTATTTTACGATATGATTGAGTCCAAACGAATAGAATGAAAATGCATGCGACTTACCCATTAGATGCGAAAAATTTATATTGCCATTGATACTGATCTACGTGAAGTCATCAACGAGTAAAAGGAAATAAAAACTGTAACAAAAAATAACAATATAATAATTTAAAACGCCATGTGTATATATATATATATATAAAAATTAAAGTAAATGAAAATAATAATTACCTCGTCTTGTGATAGACGCCTTATGTTCTTGTAATACTAACTCTAATATATACCCGAAATAAATATTTAAAAAAAGAGAAAAAAAAATTATTATTGATCGTTCATATTAAAATTGGCGAACAAACACTGATTTTAATTTCGCGAATGATTATTACGATTAAATTTAATTAAAGTTGTTATGCTTTAAAAAATATTTAAAATACTATTATACTACGAAGCAAACACTGACTCTACAGATCGCATTGCGCACGATCACAATTCTCTGAAAGAAAAATTACGTTAACAGAGTAGATTAAGAAAAAAAGAAAATTATTCTTTCCATATTTTATTTGTTTATTCTTTTCCCTATCCGAGTATTTGTTAAAAAAAATATTCTTTCAAAGTTATGCAACGAAAGTTAGATGATGAAAGAATATATTTTTAAAAAGTATAACCTAACATATTCGAAATAAAATATAATTTAACCTTTTTCATTTTTCTCATAATATTCCTTCAATAATTCAAATATCGATGTATTATCAATTACTTAACAAATATATACGAACAAACAAACAAAAATAAAAATAAAAATGTATCTACTTTGATATGAAAAATCAAATATTATTATTCTTTGATTGATCATTATGTTATGGCGTCCATATTGAACTTATTTTTCCCTACATTATAATAGGATATTGTCTTAATAATCAATTAAAGAAAAAATAATCGAATGTTTAGAATAAATATATAAAATATATAAAATTAGAATCGATTATATTATAAAGACAAGACGATACACAAATTTAAATCTAATTTTAAAAACTGACAAATTTCAATAATGAAATTTATGGTCGAAATAAATCAATAAAGCAAATAGAATCATTTCTCAAAGAATTACTCAATGATAATAATATTCAAATTATTATATACATATATATATAAATTATACACAAATTATTATATACATAAATTACTGAATTAAATAATAATATGAGAAAAATAAAAGGATAATTAGGGAAATAAATAAATGTATTATGTAATAAATTACGTACCTGAAGCAATGCAGTTTTTTAGACGCCACAACTTTCGATAAACGAATGACATTTTGCATCACAATTTCGATTATCGAACTGAATCAAAAAGAATATACTCGAAATTACGACAAGTCGAACATACGGAGAGCAAGACACGAATGTGAATCACCAATTTTCTGAAAAGGTCTTGAGCGTAGTTTCAAAACAAACAGAATACGTCGCCAATTTTCTAGGAAGATTAAATTCTAAGAAAACGTAACATAACTTTGAACGTAAAATCAAAACAAAAATAATGTGAGTTAAACGCACGAATAGACGCAATATTTAAGAAAGAAATATCATCAAATATAAATCAAATCTCTCTCTCTCTCTCTCAACCACGATTTGCACGATTTACAATGTTGTAATCAAATATTATACAATTTGATTTATATATTTATATTATAGTATAATATTTCAGTAATTAAATAAAAATCAGAACTATAAAATAAAATACTATAAAATAAATGTATAAAATTAAAATAATATTAAAATAATTAATATTAAATTATTAATTAAAATAATTAATTAAATATAATAAATACTTAAATTCAAATATTTAATTTGTAATTAGATATAATTAGAAATTTATAATATTTATAAATTACCAGTAATTGACAAATAGATGAGCAACGAACAATGACAAAAAAAAGTTAAAACGATGATAAAATTTTGATATATTAATATTTAATAAATGATCAAATATATATATCTATTAATTAAATAAATAGATTATTATAATTATAATAATTTATAAGTTATATCACAATCAAAAAAATTAACACTATTATGTGCAAATATTATAAATAATTATACGATATAACGAATATCATTCTCACGATTCTTGACAGTAGTCTAATATTACTGCGCACTAGCGATTCGTCTAGTTGCTAGGTCTTAGCAATTTTCTGATTGGTTGGAATCGTCTGATTCTTTACTCACTTCAATTGTATGAAAATTAAAGTATAATATAATAATTTTAAATAATTAAATTTAGATAGATTTCTATACATCGAAGTTTTAAAAAGATACATTAATTAGAAATATAATAAGAATATATATATATATATATATATAATTATTTTATAAAATATTATGAAGAATATATGTACATACAATATTTTTTCAGATTTTTAATATTGTATAAAAACAATTTTTTACATTAATAAATAATTATTTATTTATTATTTAATTTTCGTAAGTAAGAGAAAAAAATTCATTACGAATGAAAAATATGTGAAAGTGAAAAACCATAAATCTTGACATCCGTTCGAAATCGTTTAATGAGATAAGATGTCGTTTTATTATTTTCTGAAAAATAACATTGTTGCTCTGTCTCTTTACTCTATAATTTGCTATTATTTTGATTGTTCTTCGTGTTTTTTCTTACTTCATTCAAGAATAAAGGCAATAATATGTCCTAATAAGCAATCCTGAATCATGTTCATATCGAAACAATACTGTACTTTCTTTAAATAAATAATAAATTGTTTTGATTTATATTTAATTAAAGTTTTTATAATAAAATTAAATTTTAATTTCAATACTACAATCAATACTACAATCATTTTTTGTGCTTGAGCAATAACATCATGATATATAACAATATTCAAATTTCTGTGACACAAAAAAGCATTGCATGCCATATCTATTCAGTATCTCATCTGTGGTTTAATTTCAATAGCGCTATTGTCTCATTCCGTTTCTGAATCGATAATATCGCATGTGATGTAAATAAATTCTCATGTAGTAGAGCGCATTAGTATCGCGAACAGGTATCCATGTATATTGCAAATGATACGTTGCTGTCAAATTTAAAAAAATATTGATTGCTTTTTCTTAAATAAGAACTATTTTTTGACAAGAGTAAGTGTTATCTAACTGTTAGATAAGAATTATCATATAAGATTAAGACAATTATAATCAAAGGTGTTTGATATTAGTATTGATCTCGATTACATATCGTTATATGGTTAACCTATATTAAAACGTTTATACTTTTCTGAATAACATTTTGACATATTAAAGAAAATTGTGCTGTTATTAAATAATTAGATCATGTGAATGCGATTTATTTAGTAGTTATATAGAATTCATGAATATAGAAATTGCATATAGAATTGCATAACGTTAAATATTGTTTTTCAATATTATGCATGTAACCTGTATATTTAAATATTGAGTCTATACATATTACATCACTTTTTTTTTATAAATTTATATTATAGTTTATTTAATTTAATATAGAAATTCTATAAACTTGTTTTTTTTTATTAATGTTAAATAATATTATATTAATGATATTTGATATAAATCTAATATGAAATATAATAAATTGACTAGGTTAAGTCAAATATATTTTGGACATCATTTAAACATTTTTATTAAATAAGTAAATGTCATTTATCAACGAATTATTTATATTATTAATTCTGCTTATGTTAACAAATTGATAGCTCATTAAAAAAAATTATTTAATTGATAAAAAAAAATGTTTTAATCGATACTTATACAAAATTTTTTATTATTATATATAGGTGTTGAATTTTATGCCAAAGTTTATTGGATTAATTATCTATTAATGAAATATTACTAATAATTATAATGGCAAATTGTCAAGATACGGATAAGACTGAAGATTTCATGAAATATTATAAATTTGATGGCCAATCTTATATATATAATGATCCTACGAATAATGTGACATATAAGTTTGATCAACAAAAGAATGAATGGGTGGTAAAAAATACGGAAGAAACAAATGTTAAAAACTCAAATGATAATGAATCTAAGACGCAGGAAGGAGTTTTTGGTTTTGAAAACGATACTCATACATACACAGATCCTAACGATGGCAGTGTGTACTTTTGGGACAAAGAGAAAAATGCATGGTTTCCAAAGGTGAGATATGTTTTTATTATTGTTATTATTATTATTGTTGTTGTTGTTGTTGTTGTTGTTATCATCATTATTTTTATACCAATCTAATTTTTTTACAAACATTTTATTATTCACATTTCTGAATGAGTTATCATATCAAAATATTTCTGTATATTACCATATATTTCCATATATTTTCCATATATTTAAAAATAATGATTATTTTTCAGGTGGATGAAGATTTTATGGCAAGATATCAAATGAGTTATGGATTTACAGATACAAATCGCATAGAAACAAAACCTGTGCAACAATCTCAATCACAAGGAAAGATCGATAAAGAGAAAAAGAAGATGGAAGCGAAAAGAAAATCACAGGAACCACCGACTTGGTTCGAAGTGGATGAAGCACATAATACTGCCATTTATGTGTCCGGTCTACCATTAGATATTACTATGGATGAACTTACCGAGCTTTTCAACAAGTGTGGTCTCATAGCACGAGACGAAAAAGGAAAAGACAAGATCAAATTATATAAGGATTCAAATGGACAACCAAAGGGTGATGCTCTCTGTATCTATATAAAGGTAAGTAACTATTTATAATATTTATATAAATTGTTCGTAAATATGTATAATTGAGTTCGAATTATGAAATATTTTCGAATCCGAGCATCGGATTGATATTTTCGAATTCTCGCATACTTTTATTGTTAATAATTATCTCTCGAGAATATGAAAGTGCATTTCCGAATATTTGGGTTTCTGATATTTTCACATATTGTTGTGCACTAACATACTCTTTAATTTAATCTTGTTTAAGTTTGGAAAAAGTAGTAACAATATATATTGAAATGACAATCTAGCACCTACTCATGCGCGAAACATTTATATCTGGTAAGATATAAATTAAACTTTCGGAATTTAAAATATATATGTTGAATAATACGAAAGAATGTAAATTTTTTTTAAAATTAGCCAGTACAATTATTATCATTGAAACGAGTTATAATGTCATACTAATTTGACATGGAATTTTTATTGATATAATGTACATCTTATTAAATACAATATGAAAAAAAGATTTCAGTAATATTATTATATTTCGCGAAGAATATTTCACATATTGATTTATCGATAATTTATCACGAATAAATCGTACATTTACATCATACAATGTAATATAAGCAAATATAATTTACAATTTTAAAACATATAGTACTATATATACATCTGTATGTTGATATACGTGCAAATACACACACACATACACACACACATCTATAAATTGATATGTAAATGAAAGAACAATGCATATATTTCTTTAAAAATAAATTTTTATCATTCAAAAATAAGGTAAAAAAAAAGTGAGAAAAATTATTTTTCTATGAATAATTATTAGTTTTTTTTTTTTTTTTTTTTTTTATTACAAAAAATTTAAAAAATACAGATGCATTTAAATATATTCTTATTTTTGCGTTTTATTATCTTTTCTCATATATCTAAATATCTTCGGATACTATATGATACTATATATACTATATAATACCAAGCAATGAACGAAAATTAACATTAAAAAATAAAATTCGCAAATAGTCAATCCGCATTTCATATATGTTAATTAAATAAAGAAATAGATAAAATTAAAATGAGAACGAATATTAATTGTATAATATATACGTGATACAAACATTAAACTATTATTTTATCGAAATAACTTTAACTAACTAACCAACTAATTAAACAATATTTGCATATATTTTCAAAAATCTTACATTTATTTAAAGAGAGGAACACGAGAGATTATTTCGCCAATCTAATGTGAATAAATTATTTCAATTTGTGCTCGACGACCTTTAATAGAATCTAAGATTTTCATCTTCCACAAAGTCAAAATGAAAACTAGAATTAATTTGATCAATTTTATTCGATTCATTACTTGGTAAATCTATTATTCGGTAAATTATCATATCAATTTTTTTAAAATAATAATGATCAATGATCAATGATCAATGATGTTTAAAGTCATACAAAGAATTAATAATATATAGCGTTTTGGTTATGGCTTTAAGAACTTTTTAAAACTTCTTCACTCGCCAAATTGTTGATTCCAGAGATTTGAGGAAAAATTCTATTCATATCCATTAGACTTTGCGGACCGTTATTGGATCCATCGGCTAGAAATCCATTGTATTCTTTTTCTCGAAATAAATTTTGTGCCTTTATCGCTCGAGTTCTATTCGAATGATGCCGCATTCCTGGATTGGAATAGTATATTTTTTCGTTGCTGAAATTATAATTTTCATAATTCATAATTAGTAAAAGGTCCTGTAAAAATTGATGACATAAAATGATGATAAAAAATATTTTTATTAAAATATACGATTTCTTAATCGTCGTTAATATTATTATTATTATTAGTCATCATCATCATCATCATCATCATCATCATCATCATCATCATCATCATCATCATCATCATCATCATCGTCATTATCATCATCATCATATATTACAATCAAGTTATTTTGAATTTTGTTCAATTTTGTACAAATATAAAAAATTTTTGTAAAAATACTGTGATATATACTATAAGAATTTTTTATTTATTTAGAAATTTCTAATAATTTTTAACAAAATTTTCCTCTTAGTAATATTTTTTAGTTATTATTATTTAGTATTTAAGCAATGAACGATTTGTTAATAAGAATCATTTATCTTTCATATATGAAGTGGTATATTGTCGACAAAAATTTTTTATAATAATAATGTAACATGATATCTTACTAAGATGGTGGCCTTGAACCCAAATTCACACCATGTGCCCAATCGTCTGCATTTTGCTCTACATAGTTTTTTTTTCTCCATGCATTTCGTCGTTTGTTCCGTCCATTTGATTTGTGCGATTCATTTAAATATTTTTTACCTTTTTTTCGGGATTTTTGATTTTGCAACGCACGAGAATCCGCCGTTTTTTTACGTCTTCCGACTATAATTTAAACAGAGCACATTCGTGAATTATATTCATTTGGTTATCGAAATGTAGAACGAACGAATCATCATCTTTTATTTTGATACATATATAGAAAACATATTTTAAATGATATCTTTTGAATGTACAATTTTTTTGGAAATTTTACCTATACGTCCTGCCAATACCTCGCATACATAATGTTTTCGTTCGACGCAACTTTGTGGACTCCATTTATACTTTAATCGAGGATCGATCGTGATACAATGCCACGCGTATTGTTTCGATCGATTAAATTCAGGTTGACCAAAATTTTGAAAATGCACTTTTTCTCCAGTCATGCCCCATTCCCAAGCCATTTGTTGCCAATTGTATATTCCACCGATCCATCTTTCTAATTTCGCTATGATATAATATTTTAATCATTTTAGGTATTTCGAAATTTTTAAATAATTAATTTTAATTCATTGTTATGAAAATTTATAAATAATATGTAAATATTATAATATTATATAAATATAATTAGAAATATGAAAGCGTAAATAATATATATATATATATATAGATACATAATTTATTTATGGCATGGAATATATCCCAATTTTATATAATTTATTAAATATTTAAAGCGATCTTATTAAAAATAAATAGTAGATATTTATTTAAAAATATAATTATTAATTTTTTTAATCGTAAATATTCAAATTTCACTTACTAAATTGATCGTTCCACAAATATTTTCTTAACATTCGATCCTTCCCATTTCTATCGAGAATAGCCAGAGTGGCATTTCTATCTTTGCAGTGAAAATAGGCTTCTCTCCAGGGTGCCGTCCCGCCGCTTAAATAATAACAATATCTCTTCAATCGGAAGAATCCTATGGGACACGCGTATCGCTTTATGCCATTATTTTGCCGACCAATTCTAGGCCGGTTCGCAGCTGTTTCATTAAAACTGATATTATGCGATTGTACCGCAAATATACCTGAAAAATAAAGGAAAATATTTTTGTTTTTAGTTAAAATTACATTATATATATATACATATCATAAATAATCACATAAAATATCATAATTCGTATAATCTTCGTTCAATTTCATTCTCATTTTTTCAATTTCTCTTTTTCCATCTTATCGCTAAATGCGAATATATTTATGAAAAACTTGACATGTTGGTAAATAAATTTACATTTTAAATTATATCGGGTTGTATTTTAGTAATATTATTTTTTTTTTTTCGTTATTATTCGAACGAAGGAATTTTACTACCTACTCTAGAATTGGGATGGTATATTTCTCGTTCAAAGAAATTCTCGAGAGAAAGAATACAACAATCTTACCTACATACTCCACGTAAATTTTCCTCTCGGTGTACATCCACGTCGCATGCGACGAGTATTAAACAAATGCATCGCATTTACGAGCGATTTTATCTCTCGGTAAAAATTGATGATTCATGTTGAGACATAGATACAAGGATGTAGCGTAATAACAAATTCATTACATCATGCACAGTGCAGCAGGATTAAGCATTCTTATAATTAGTTCAGTGTTACGGTCATTCTCCTCTCCGTGTAATAATTTCTTTCGTCTCTTACGGCTATCCTTTTAAGGAGATAAACGCAGGAAATCCAGTATAAAATGTCGGATGCAGCCTAGTTATTCGAGTTCCATGGTATTTCTTGTTCTTTATACCATTTAAGGAATACGCTATCGCAAATGCTCGCATCATGCAAATTTCTCGATAAACGTAATGTTGCGAGAAACGACAAAGATCGTTTGTGATAATAGTAACAATACGATAATATTCTTATCTTCTCAATTAAGATTATTTATTCTTAAAAATTTATTTCTCTAATTTTAGTTTTTACTTTCTAATCTTTGATCTCTTTTTTGTTTCTCTTTAATTATGAAATGATAAAAAAATCTTGATATATAATTGGAAAAGATTATTTAGTAGTATATTTGATAGGAAAAGCATGGAAAAAAGCTTATTCGTTGATTTAGGCAGTAATATATACTTACATACGTATTTGATTATCGTGTCGCTATGTCGAATCGTTATAGCGGATGATAATAGTTAAAAAAAGTCAATTGTCTCTGGTATTTATTAATAGTTACATTTTATTTATCTTAATAGAAATATACGAGTTGTACATTGTATTTCACGCTATAATACTTACGATGCGATTCAGCAACTCGGTTACAATGGAAATTTATTTATATAGAATTTGAAATTTTTTTATAATTAAGAAAATTTTTTATTTCAATCTCTTATGATTAATTTGTTAAAAAAAAATAATTTAACAAGTATGAGAAGAATTTTCTCTTAGGAAATTTTAATTAATAGCACATGGAACTTGAGTAGTAAAATCTTGGCAAATCTTAGAGATAGAAATCGATGAAAAATTCATTAAAACGATAATTTGCGTTGAATAGTAATATCTTAATAAAAATTTTAACGAGATAATGATGACTGGTAATAGAAAGAAATAGCGATTATATTCCAACACTATAAATAAGTTGTTAAGTTTTCTAAAAGATTACGCAGTATCTATTTTTCAGTATGAAACACGAGTTAAATTTCCGCGTATGGCAAAGTATTCTTTCTAGTAACCTAATTCGCTGTGTTTGATGTCCATTCCGCGAAACGTGAATGATATCATTCGAAGAAATTATGCATACATGGCAATTATCGGGTTTAGAAATGATTATCAATTGATCAAATTATTTTCTCATTTGAGTTGTAAAATTCAATAATCTAATTAAATCGTGAAATAATATTTTCTCGTTTATTCGTAAATATTTTATCTTCATTCTTCGTTCTTTACTCTTTTTAAAATTGAAATAAAGTTTATTACGAATTACTTTTTATATATATAATTTCATTAATATATTCTTGATATGTACGTATATTATATTTTTGTTATTATAAAAGGTACTTTATGACATTTCAATAGAGAAAAAAATATTCATACGATAAGTTGTTTGCATTCATTTCGAACGATGCATTATAATTTTTTTAACTTGATCTTTTCCGAAAATAATGATCGATTAAACCAATTGTCGATCCTTGAAAATATATCCTATTCATTCATTTGCAAGAAAGCGAATCGTACGAAATGTTTCCATTCGTTGAACACGTTTCGTTTACTTATTTCTCTCCGTCTGGAAACCATAAACGACACATAGCCATGGGAATGGCTTGAAACTTTATCTTTTCGCGTATTCATTCGCAACTATTTTAGATATAGCTTCATCGATATTTCTACATACCCAGAGCATGTATTCAATGTAAATCCATCTTTCAACGGATATTGGGGACAAATTGTTCTTTCATTCATACGATATTCAATTATGATAAATACACATATCGTATTCATTCATTCGTATTAATTTGTACTCATAAATCGATAATTTCACGTAATAGATAATTTTTAGCTATATTCCAACTTTCCTATCATATCAAGCTTTTTATATCAATTTTTTTTTAACCATATTCCCCATGCCATGTTTATTATTCGTTATTGTCAAATTATCAATCTTCTTTTTTTGATATTAAAAATAGGAAATTGATTTTTTATCCATCATTTAAATGATTTAATTATTAATATTAAATTAAAATTCAATTCGTGAAATTCTATAAATCTGATTTCTAATCTAACGATTATAAATATTTGATAAGAATCAAATTTGTGAAAATTCAAAATTTTTATATAAACGATGAGATTAGATTATACAAATATACTTTTCTATAAGAACAATTTTCATGTTTATCATAGAATATTAGAATCGCACGATTGTATTTTTCGAAAAATTTAACAAACTGATAGTAAATTAAACAAATATTAATACATAGTTATACGATAGTGTGCGCCGATAAATTAAAATATCTTTATCTATTGTCAATATTCGCGTATCAACGTATACGTATAACCGTATGGTAAAATTGCGTCAATCCGATAATAGCAAACTTTCAAAATCGGTTTAAATTTCAACAATTGATAGATATTCGATACGATACGATAACGTAAGTGATTACCAGTACATTGATAATTATTATTTGTACTAGCTTGGACATTGCCAATAATTAATATTCAAAGATAAACAATATCCCATTAGATAGATGTTCTTTTTAGATCTTCTCATCTAATTGTATAAGAATCATGTGCGTCATCATATTCGATACATGTAATACGTATGCCCACGATTTTTACTTTCAGTACAAGGTTAAATTTACACGTATTCTGTGTAATTGTTTCGTATTATCGCTAATCGATTTTAGCAGACAATTTATTCGTCTCGATCAACAAGTGTCTCGTGTGTATATTTCTTTCTTGGCGAGACCTTTCCGATAACTTTAGAGAATATATGATATATTAGTACCTGTTATTACTATTATGTACCTAATATATAATGTATAAAAACATTTTTGGTAAGGTGATTTAAAGAAATTAGTTAGAACGAAATGTGTACGTGATAAGATTCCTGATTATAATTATATTATAATCTATTTGTATTTTGCAATTTTGACAATTCGTATAGTTTTGCTTAATTTTGCGATATATTTGCCGTTTGATTCAATACCGTTAGCGTATGCGATTTTCTGCGTACAGATTATATTCTCGAACGAAAATAGATGCCCGATCTCTTCATCTTTGAGTTCTAGCCTATTCTATAGTATACATGATCTTATTTTTTTTTATTAACTTTATTATGTATTCACATCTTATTATGTAACAATAAGTAACGGAACGTTTTACTTTCTAAATCTCTTCATTTCGGAAAAAACTAATGATTTTATTTCAAAGAAGAAAAAAAAATATAATTCAATTTTTTTCATTCAAATATAAATCTATAAAATGCAATATTTCATTAATTTTCTTTCAAGATGAAATTAAAAAACATTTTATCATAATTGCATAATGATAAATGCACATAATGATAATTCTTTTTATATGGAAATTACGAATATGCAAATTTGTTTTCGTGTAACTTTTTTATGATCGATAGAAAAAGATAAGTTATAGTCATATAAAGTTATAATTCATTTGCTATCTCAAATTTTTCAGTAAACAGATAAAATGATCGAGTTCCGTTATCGTATGGGACACAGTGTTAATAATTTTTCATAATGATTAATGATAATAGTTATAATTATTTTTTTTGCAATTTAATACACCGTATATATATATGTATGTTCATATATTTGTCTAATGCTTACATCGCGTTACCCTTAATGACTAACATAACATTTTATCATGGTGATTTCAGTCGTTGGAAATATATTTGTTTTATTTTTTCTTTTTCTTTTATACAAGGAATTATATATGTACATAAATAGAAAAATGTAGAAAACGAGAAAAAAGGATCAAATTGATGTTCATTTGTCACATCGAAACGATTTACTTTTTATTCCTATTTTATTCATTCTTTTTTTTTTCAATAAACATTTTTTATTAGATTCAGTTATAAATAATCAGATTTCGCAATTACGAATAAAATTATTTAAGATGTTTTTAAATTTTGTTCTTGAATATTTTTCAACGATTATACTATAGATTTTTCATATTATATTTTACATGAAATTTTTTTTATCTAATAATTTTATGTTGTATCAAAGAATGTTTTATTTTGCACAAGTTTCGAATATTCGATTCGACGAAATTTTTAGGATAGATTTAGTTTTAGGGAATATATTCAGATAACGATAATAATTAAATAGAATTTTCATAATAAATATTTCGAAAGAATTATACTTAAGATACTTATTACTTACTACATTTACATTGAATCATTAATACAGAATTTTTTTTTGCTCTTTGCTGTTTTGCTCTTTTGCAATATAATAATTGTACACTTTTTCCTTATTTGTTTTTCAAAGTTTCTTGCCTCGAAATGTTTCGATTCGAACATTGATGTTCAAAACTTGATATTTAAATATAGAATCCGATTTTTAAAAATCATTTAAAAAAATTTTACACGTATAATCAATGTTTTATACATACGTACATCGAGTTCGATTTTTCCTATCAAAATATTTAATCCATCGATTATCGATCATAATTCTAACAAATACGTGTAAAACATTTATTATACGATTCTTTGTCGATCTTTCTATTCATCCATCCATCCATCCATCAATTCATCTTAATAATTAATAAATTTCCTTTTTTCCTCGATATTTAACGCGAGTAAGAGAACAAATATTGGATCGGCAAAATCACGCATTACCTGCGGCACAAAAAACGAGAAGCAAACACCTCCGCATGATTTTCACGTACTCTGTTATTGATTTATTCGCCGAATTCGTCGATGCACAAAAAATACTTGTACGAATAAAATCGTCTTCATCCTCGTTCACAAGTCACACTTTGATTCACACGCATCAATACCTTTCGTAATCTTATCTTGAAATTTGATCGAAATTTTCACTAAAAAATTCATTAATCGATGATTTTTAATCGCTATTTTCTTCGTTGATGCGATTGTCCGAAGGACAAACGGACGGAAGTAGACGCGAACACGGGATAAAGTTGCACGGTGGAAGTTGGCGAGCGACTGAAGCCGCCACTTTCATTCCGCTCGATGTCAAGGTACGAGAGTATGCGAGGCGAGCTTTCGATCCAGACATCTCCCCTATATATACTTACTCGATCTCCACGCTATTTTTCAGCCTTCTATAATATAAAACTAACTATAATATAAAATATAATATCGATTTCGAATAAATTTTCAAATTTTTTCTTTTCAAAGATTTCTTCTAATCTATCAATAATCTTATTCAAATTTATTAAAATTATCGATTATGAAATCTTAAAATTATACGTATATAATTATCTATATATTTTCTTACGCGTCTCATGTTCGTAAAAATCTTAAAAATTTCGATGATGGAGGAATAATTATTTTCTACACAATTTTAAATCCTTTATATTAAAATTTTACTATGCTATAAAACTATTAAATATCGAATCATCATTTATAATATATGATAATTTATCGCTTCATTGGCTATTTTATCAAATACGTAAAAATATTTATTGTAGAGAAGTTGAAAATTATTTTCATTATTGTTATTCGTTTCTTTAAAAAAAATAGAAAAAGATGCGATCATACGATCATTTTTATCACTTTCGAAAAACGATTGTATAACACAATTAAACAAGAAAGATGAAGGTTATTTCGAGAAACACATTTAAAAATTGAATTAGTTACTTGAATGAAATGATTACGTAAATTATTACTATTAAATGAATCATATAATTTACAATTATATATATAAAACTTGATTTATTCCATTCAACGAATAATAACTAATTATTCATATTGCAATTTATTTTCGTTTTTATCTTGGTAGCTATAAAATAAAATCATACGTAATCTGCAAATCTCTTCGATAATTTTAATCAATTTGTAAAAAAGATTGAATTAAAATTCCTTCCGTTATCATATTTGTAATTCACATCGATAAAACTTTTTCCTCGTGATGTAATTTTTTTTCTTTCTTTTCTTTTTTTTTTCTGTACCTCAAAAAAAAAAAATAGCATAATAACGGTTTACTTTGAAACGAAGGTTGTGATAAGCGATAATAAAGAATAGAATAAATTATGGTGATAATAATTTTATTATCTATGCTTAAATTTTGATACGTACACAATATACGTTACATGTACATTTAATTCGTAGATAAATGTACGCGATCTTTCGACTTTTTTCGAATAGAAAAAAAATCTGTGATCTTTTCTCGTGTTTTCTCCTTAATAGGTTGCCAATGAATACGACGTATTGAAAGACGCATATCGTGAATTCGTAATTTCCATGGAACACAATGCGCAGAATGTTGACTTTCCCATAAACCGCTTTTTCGTGCCTCGCGGTTGCCAATAACTGACCAAATATCATTATCTTTGTCGTGTTATTTTCTTCTCCTTAAACTCGATCAATACTTGACAACTGGCCAGTGCTAGTGCTTTGCACATTAATAAAAATTTGCATTAACAAAAAAAATAAATACATAATTCTTTCTTGTCGAGAGCGAAGCGAGAATATATCTGTTTCGTTTTTTCATTCTTGTAATTGTTTTTAAACTTTTACGAGTATAAATAAAATAAAAAATAATCGCCTATATTTCATTTCTGTTAAACGGAGAATAAAAAAAAAAACGAAAATGAAAAAATAAACTGAGAAAGATAAAAATAATTTAAATAAGTAATTATATTTTAAAAATACAACAATTTTATATTCGTGATTTTGTATTTCTTAGAAACATTATATTTCCTTTTTTTTTTTATCGTTTTTCGTCATTGTACAAAATTATAATAAACGATATTTGAAATATAGGTCACACTTCAATCGGTCGAGATGGAACGCATTTAGCTTTTCGCACTATTTTTCCATTATTCTCAATTAATTGATTTCTATTGAAATTAAATGGATTATTAAATACGATATTTTATCTATCCGATAAATATTTTCAATCAAACATCAAGTTCTATCAAAATTCGATACAATTAAATCGAAATATCGTCGTTACGATATTTCAAATTTTGAAATAAATATTTTATCGCAATTGTATTATTATTAATTTTTTAGTTAATTTTACTTTTAACACATACCACCATACAGTCAACTATTCATAACTTTCAATGAACTGAAATTTTCATGATTGTTCAATGTATTTAAAATTTCTATAATATAAATTACAATTAATGCTTTATTACTTATAATAAATATAATAATTATATATAAATAAACATTTAATCAAATCATAGATTAAATTGATGTTTCTTAAAAAAATTAAATTTGAAACGAAAAAAAAATTCTTTTGTTCGAAAATTTCATTTTTATTCTATCTATCTATCTATCTATCTATCTATCTTATCTATCTATCTATCTATCTTATCTATCTATCTATCTATCTTATCTATCTTATCTATCTATCTTATCTATCTATCTTATCTA